CAAAAACATCAAAAAACATCATGTGCCATCGCAGCAGAGCGACCCCATTTTTCTTGTCTCTTTATTGTGATTAGACGAACTTCAGGAAGAAGTTGTAGAGATTTTGTTTGATGGCTACAGTAACGCCGACTTGGACATTGAGGGTTTTGAGTTTGACGAAGATGGCAATGAACGTACAAATAAAGATCTGAGAAGTTTTTTCAAACAGCTATGAATTTTTATAATTATTACAGTGTAAATTTGTAAATTATTGTTGATCTTGTATGACAGTTGATTCGCAATTTGTCAAGACCGGAAATCATTTTACGTAGTTTAACCCCTGACATTTTAATTCATTTTGGGCGTGTTTGTCGGCGGGAAAATCCTAATTCAAATGATAATAATGCATATTGTTCATTTATTTCTGTTGCATGTTTTCATTTGTCGTTCTATTCCCTGTCGCAGTTCAATCTGCATGTTGTCAATTTTCAATGCATGTTAAGAACCCTGGGCTTATACCCGGATAAATACAATATTTACCCTTCAGAAGTGGTTATTCTATGTGACATAAAGGCATTCAAGTTACGCAAAAAATATTTCAACAGACCTAGAAAATAATTTCCTGGATACTTGGTTTTTCCAAAATAGCCTTTTTCATTCTGAAAACCCACCACTCCAAGTGTTTTGTATGTATATACGTGTTGAACAATTTGAAAATAGTCCATTCTATATGATTTCATGAGAGGATACACAACAAATGTTTGTCAGAGACGCCACCATAATAATACATTTGCCACTAACCACATTGAGAGGTGTAGTAGAAGTCATCCACTTCTCTAGGATCTGTTCTGCATAGCTATTACCATGAAGCTGCCTGTCTTTTGCTCGTTGCATCTTCATTTTCCGGTACTTGTACCTTTCAATCCATTCTGATAATTCATCTTCTGAATGTGCTGAAGTACACTGTTCACCAAATCTACATTTAGGAAATCTGACAACGGCAAAAGAGAGACAAAATAAACATGACTGTATGATTAGTATTTTTAAACCAAGAGACTATATCCATTTACTGAGAGATCTAGTGTTATGCGTGAAATCGTACAGAAAAACAGGACAAGCAAAGGTCATACCAGTAGTATCATAGTGATGTTATAACATCACATGGAATTCAGCAAACACAAAAATATTTCAAGCTTAATATGCTATATACATTTGTGGATGGTCAATTTTGGTGAATAAGGATATCACAAAAAAATAATTAAATTCTCTCTCGAAGATTTTGGTGTTATTTCGACAATGAGCTTTCAAAAAATTCAAATTGTTCAATTTTTGCGGCAGACGCCTATAATTCCCAAAATGGTGAGAGAACAGGAATAATGGACATGAACTTTGCATCTGTCATTTAGGGAGGTTTCACTGAGTTCCGATACCTGTATTAGTACACTTGTCATATTACTTTTAGATAGTTTTATCTGGAAAAGCTGCACAAACATGTTTTTGTAAGTAACCAGGTTACTGTTTCATCAGAGGAAACATTTAAAAGCTCAGCATCAGAAAACTAGCTGCTAGTTGCGCATAATTAAAGGACACTTGCAACAAACACACTTTCATAAACAAAATTCTGAAACTTTGCTGAAATTATTCATTGTGATTGGTTGTTTGGATATCTGAAATAATTTTTAAACAATGAACCTCAATTGTATATATTTTATCGATTTTCCAATCCAAAAGACCCCTCTAAGTCAAGTTTAACACTACATGAAAATCGCAAAGCTAATGTTTCCATGGGAACAAGCTTTTATTTTCCCCATTGTCAATTATTTGATGGAATGTCAATATATTTTGACTTCTTCTCCAGCTGTGAACAGCATCATATTAGCTTCTGTGATTAAGCACACACTACCATTCATTTAAATATAGCTGCTTTCACTTGAGGTTTCTCCACATTTTCTCAATAGATCACCTCTAATTTGTGACCAGATTGAACATCTGTGACATTTTCTGCTCACCAAGGTATAATACATTACTTGGGCTGAGTTGCGTTCTAACACAAATACTGTAAATGTATTCATTATTCATTTGGTTTTAATTTAGCTATTTTCACTGATAAGTATAATTCGCTACATTAAATCTACGTGAACATGTAAAATTAGCAAAGAACTCATTGTTTCACTTGCAAATTTATAAACGAAAAACCCAGTGAATATACTCAAAACATCAGAATAGCGAAATTAAATGTCAGTGAAAATAAATGGTATTACAGTAATGGGAGATAATCACCAAGCATCACTATATCGGTCAGTCGGCCACAGAGGCCAAACTGTAATTGACCGTAGTGCTGAAATTTAAATTTTGCATGGTATTTAATTGTTGATGCCATATAATGATGTTTTTTAGTGCTTCTTATTGCATTAAGTTAATTTCATGACTTCCTTGTATATCAAACATTCATGTGAACTAAATTCTTCATCTAAGAATTATGTTGATTTATTGTGTTTTATTTAGGTCTTAATGGCCCCAGTGTGCTGTTTTTGCACAAGTCTGTAAGTCTTTTGTAAACATCGCAGCTGCTGAAAAATCAGTTGGTCACCAATAGCTTGTTTATTCCAACTCATAAAATCATAAAAGTGACAGTAATTTTGGAAGAGACTATGGAATATATAGATACAAATGAACTATTAGAAAGATGGAAAAAAAAATTACTTGTGAATGCTTTGCCTTGGGTAACAATGATCTCTTTGAATAGGCCAACCCTATACAGTATTTTCAAATGACATGTCAGTAAAGTTTTTCAAAAATTAAGTTGCGAAACAGTTTAATTAGCCATGCGGTACAGAATATGTTTACAAAAGAATATCAAGGCCTACCTATCACATAAAGAATACTCTTCACTAGTTACGCCTCTAGGCGGCGGCCTATGTTTCCAATCCCTGCCATCGTCTGACATTATAACAGCCTGATGACTTTCACTAGTACAATGAAGGTGAAGATCTACAGCAGTTTGACATTTCACATCACAATAAGAACAGTAATAAAATTCTGCAATAAAAACAAATGAATATTTAACTGTGAGTCTCACAGCCTAATCAGTGACATCAGATACGAGTTGCAATGCATTCTTGGGAACTGTCTACTGACTACCTGTTCATGCTTTGCATACTACCACATATAGAATGTAAACAGCCTTAATTTCTTAAGAAAACAATTTGCGAATTTTGCAAGTAAAAAAAAAATTTGCAAAAATTTGGAGCAGTTCAAATTTCTCTGGTGTCCTATTACACAAATTTTTCAGTGGCTTTCATAAAATTTTGTCTTTACAAATGCTATGAATCAGTGAAAATTAAAAGTATACAGTTATAAATAAAATATAATCAAAGGACGACGGTTGTTGTGTCATGTCCTGTTGATATGGGACTCATAGCGACATACATGATAATGCATGTAAAATACATTGTTTGTTTACATGAAATTCAAACACGTGATGGGTGACAACCACAGCCCTTTATCAAACACGCAAACAAATCACATACTGTACTGTAAATGTTCTAAATTAGAAGCCACTCCTATGATACCTAAATTACAATGTTCTCATCAAAATCATGTCTTTTTGTACATTGCATGACACACAAATCAAAGAACACTATGCACAAGTACTTTGTCATATTAAAACTAAGATATACCAGTACCAAATCTAAACTCTGAGAAAATATTACAGAAATTCAGCAATCTGAAAAAGTTATTACAGTAATTGACACTAATTTTTCAGATTTTTTTTTTTTTAAAAGTTTAGATCAAAGAATAGAAAGCTATGTTTATTTAGTGCCAAATTAACTGAAATGTGGAAAGTATGGATTTTAAAATCAGCTTGAGATAGTTGACTACCATTAAATCCAAAGAAAGTATAGTTGCCATAATTATTTTTCGCACAAAAAATGTGTCAAACACTTGAGAAAATTGTTGAGTCATTTACCAAGGTAAAATGTTTTGTCAAAACTCAGGTACATACAGTAAAAAAAAAATCATAATACTTATAAAGATGGGTGCACATATGGTTGTCCAAAATCAGTGGAAAATTCTGAAACTGTTTATTTTTTAGAAAATTGCTTCATAAAGGCACAGTATTGCAAAATATTTTATGCTGGATTAAAAATATCCAAAAGTTGATGCATTATGTATAAATAAACTAGTACAAATGAGATTGCTCCCCTGTCAGCAATACACGTTTCAATTAAAGAATAGAAGATATCAGCATGAAATGAACAAATCTGAGAGAAGTCTACATGTAGTGCATATATGTACATTGTATAATAAAAAATTAACCAGACTTGCGGTTTTCAACAAGAAGTTGAAAATATCACTTTTTACAAAAAATATTCATCAAAATTAAAGAATTGAAGATACATGTATCATCACAAAATGAACAAATCTGAGAGAAGTCCACATGTAGTACCCATATATGTAATACATGTATATCAAAGCAACCAGACTTATGTTTTTCAACAAGAAGTCGAAAGTATCACTTTTTACTAAAAATATTCATCAAAATTAGAGAATTGAAGATACATGTATCATCACAAAATGAACAAATCTGGGAGAAGTCCACATGTAGTACCCATATATGTAATATCAAAGCAATTGGACTGCAGTTTTCAAAAAGAAGTCGAAAATATCACTTTTACCAAAAACGACAAACATATTCCTCAAAATCTAAGAAGTCTGCCCAAGGAACATACATACACCAAGTATCAAAGCAATAACAATTGTAGTTTTCAAGAAGAAGCCGAAAAATCAAAAGTTGACACAGACGCCGACGGACAACCACTAATATGATAAGCTCCACTTGACAAAGTCAACAGCAGAGCTAAAAAGTTGACGCAGATGTCGGACTAAGACAGACAATCACTCTTATGATTAGCTCCACTTGACAAAGTCAACAGCTCTTATGTAATACAATGTAGCTTGATTATTCACAAACAACCTCATATAATTATAATACATGCAGTCATAGATACAGACATGAAAATGTCCACCCTTTTGGCGATGTGCATCTCTTACCTATACATTTGGCAGGTTTACTATTTCTTTTCTTATTTACATTAACATCATTGCCAGTTGGTGTTTGTTGACTTGCCGCTAAGTTACCTTTTGAAAACGTTGTGTGGTTTGATCCATCTACTGTGGCTTCTACCTCCTCTAAACTACTGTGTGCGTCATCCTCGTCTGCCCCCTGAAATTAAACAAGAACATGCGTACTTAGTTATTTAATAAAATAATAAAAGAGAACAAATTCACTGGTATGAAAAAAAAAGTTTCCGTTGTCCTGAAAGCATGGGTATGTGGAAAACACTGCATCATACCAGGGGTACATGTAACATCATGGAAACATTGAAGGAAATAGGTGATTTTCCGTTCAACTGCTAGATCTCGCGAGACGCATGAAAGACGCGCGTCAAACGTCTGCCACAAAATGATCGAATGATTTGATTTTGAACTTGAATTTCATAACTCACATCGACCGGCCGATCTTCGACAGAGGAATATTGCTTTCAAATACCCTCACTTAATCGAAATTGTCTATCATCAAATGTGTACAGCACATTATTAAGCATGCAAATGCCCCCCAAAATATTTTTGGGTTTGTCGAATGTCACGCGATGTTTGACGCCACTACGACGATTTCACGCATAACGCGCGATTCTCGCAGTGAACGGAAAATCTATTGTCTCAATGTCCAATGTGACTGAGATGTTTGGAATTTGGGGAAAATTTCCCTGCACTTTACTTTGTGGAATCTTTGATTGCTTAGACTGCTGTTACATTGTTATTCACAGACTCTGTGAAAAGTATTGCTATGTGCTGTTGAATGATGTGTGACTGGGTGTGTTTAAAAAGGCTGCAGGCAATTTCAAATAACTTGCGTCTGCGAAGCGGTGATTCTGTCATGGAACCCATAAAAACAGAAAATAGCTGGCTATTGGCAATATTTGTTCAAATCACAAAAAAAGGATTGACAATTTCACACAATTGCAGAAAAAAGCAAGGAACTGACGTTGGGCAAGGTTAGTGTGGTGGCTGATACAAGACTGACATTCATACATCTATGACAAATATGATACAAATTGGAGCCAGTTTATTTGCGCATTTTTGCGTGTTTGCGTTGAATGAGATTAGTCCAGGCATGTCATAGATATGGCCTAAAACAGCATTTGTTAAAACAAAATGGCTGCCAGTCTGCCATTTTGAATCTGATCTGGAAAAAAATGAATGAAATATGTCCATGCATGACCGGTTTCTGGAATGGCAGAAATGCTTGATTTTAATGAATTTTTAACACAAAAATGGTAGCCATTCAGCTATCTTGAACTGGATCATAAAAAAATGCAAGTCCCATGTCCTTATTTATGAGAAGATGTGTGGTGTATGTGTAAAGTTTGAAGACGATCGGGCAAGGCATGTTAGGAAAACAAAATGGCTGCCAGTCGGCCATTTAGAATTCAATCTGGGGGGAAAATGATAATATTATAATAATATAATATTAATATAATATTAAAATCCTTACCTCCTCTTGTAAAGCATCTAGTATCTTTTTGAGTCGATTCAGTTCTTTTAAGGCTTGTGAATTCTAAAGAAAAAAGATGAACAATATTGATGCATTTGACTGCGTAATGCAAGACACAACAATGATATTTGTAATCAGTCATACGCACATGAGATATATTAAAATAGAATATATATAAAATGATATGTATTTTAAAGATTAACAATAAGGAATTGCACACAAAGTTATCACCTCTTCACTGCAATGATATCCAATGTAATTATAATACTGTGTGATGCCAATTATTGAAACAGTGTGTACTACATGTACTACATTTCAAAACTAGACCAAAACTTGGGTAGTGAGGGTAATTGGTTTTGTTGAATGTAAAATACACCTTTTTTACAAACTAGTGTCAAAATATTATACCCCAAACAAACGTATGAATCAATTGCTGAATGTGATATAAGGGCAGAGCATGTAGCACTTACTGATGTAACAAAAGAAAACTGGCTGTAGTTGTTCTGTTTTTGTCTAAATAGGGTGTTTGATAAGATCCTATTTCTTACATTAAATATTTGAAGGCGAAAATTTATATTTCTATATGCATAACATGCCCAGCCAAAATATTGTCCTATAGTTTTACTTTCAATGTTCAAAAATTGTGATAAGGAGGTTAAATGCTCATCAACAATTAATTAATAGCCCAATACTAATACAGGATGAAGCACTTTTTATATGTTGAGTCAAAGGTGTGAATGGAGTAACGATGAGGGGACTCACCTCAGGTTCTAATTTGCGCCATAGCTTAGCCACATTGTGAGCATCGTTAAATTTGCCTAATTTACTAAGAGCTAAGGTTTTGCGCATTAATGCTTTACAGTTCTTGTTATCTGTTAATATCAATATCTTGTCGCAATCATCAATCACCTTTTCATGTTGTTTCTGAAAGAAAATAGAAGCATAGATTACATAAAGTAACATGAGATGTTCAGCAAAATAAACCAACACTAGAGGTATCTGAACTAGTTTTTGAATTATTAACTTCAATTTAACGGCCAAGCTACTTTCTGATTGGCAAAATTTATAGGTGTTTGTGTTGGGTAGCCAATCACGCAAAATCTTGTGAGAAGCTTTGCATCGACTGCAATTGTATACATCTTGCCAAATTTTCAATCAACAAGACATTTGAAAGTTCTCTTTGTGCTAGTTATATTAAAGTGGAGAGGTTGTCGCGAGTGTGTCCTTGAAACTTGAGTCCAAAGTGGCATATACAACAGATTGTAAATTCACATCAAATTCAAACACGTGTTGCATGACGACCCTTTCGATTTAAGACATAGCAAAGAAAAACATAGATCACAAGTGAAAGCATGTCCAAGTTATCACAATTCAAACAAACAAGATGGCCGCCAGTCGGCCATATTTTATCAAATTGCAACTTGAATTGACATGTACATGTATCCATTTATGACATGTTAAATATCAATGAAAATGATACAGGGTGACAGAGATATAAGATATTATAAAATATAGATATAGAGATTATGAAACAAAGTGACATGTATGATGTATGTGCCAAATATGAATGAAAATACATAAATCTTGGAAATATAGTAGTAAGGCCAAAAAGTCAGATGGCCATCCTTGATCGGATTTTGAAACAAATTGTCATGGACATGTATCCTAACATGTATAAAGTATGTGCCAAATTTGAGTGAAAACTGACAAAGCATGTCCAAGATACCACATTTAAAAAAAAACAAGATGGCTCCCAGCCGGCCATCTTTTATCCAATTGTGATAGAAATTGTCATGGACATTTATCCTAACATGTATAATATATGTACCAAGTTTGAATGAAAATTGACAAAGCATGTCCAAAATACGACATTTAAAAAAAAAACAAGATGGCTGCCAATCGGCCATTTTGAATCGAATCGCCAAACCACTGCATGTGCACATGTCCCACATAAAGTACAAGGCACATGCAAAGAATGAACAGAATCGGTCCAAAGGATTCTGAAATATGACTCCGGACGGATGCACAGACACCTGGACAGACGGAGACCGAATTAAAAGTCCCCGTTTCCGGACTTCGTCTGAACAGGGACTAAAAATAGCCATTAAAGAAGATAGGAAAATCACAAAGTCACTGTTTCAATCAAGAGAAGTTTGGATGCCTCTGATTTTCATTTGCTTTTTATCATTTATCTGAAGAAACATTCCAGTCAGCAAAATATTAATAATTTTTCATTCATCTTTAAAATCAACAAATTAAATTTGTGGACATATGCACTATAAGTCAGTAACACATTAAGGTTTTTATCAAACTACATGTATCACTAGTACATGTCGACGATTAAACTACGTAATAAACACGGTACAGATACTGCATAGTGCTTAATTATCTGCTGTGGTTTATTTTCCTTAAATTTTTGAATGCGCTAAATTAAAACTCTGTGAATATTTCTCCTTCTACAGTACATTCAGTTGAAATTAAACATTGCCAGCAATTTGATCAAAATCTGATGGATGGATGGATGGTTTTGGAAACACATAACTACATCTAACTAATTCCCTCTGCACGTTACGTTCAGATCTCGCAGGATCAGTTTACAATCATAACTCATGACATGCCACTTTTGTGTAAGGTGTGCTCTATTGGTTGACAGTTGCCATCAGAGTAGTTCGTTGTGATTTAGATTATTATTTGTACAAACGTGTAGTTAGAGGCAATTTCACCGGTGACCAGAATTAAAAGCAAATAGAGCCATTTGCCTCTACCTACAGTGTATCTAAATAGGATTGTAATATGACAATAGATTTAATGAAAAACACATCAAATTTAGTGACAATGTGGGAAATTACCAATATTTCATTTAATTATTATAAATAATCCTTGTCAAAAATAACAATACATGTGTGTTCTTCTCAGGTGTACGAGTCCTATTAGAGAGAGGGTTGGACAAAAAATTTGTGACAGTCCTTTTATAGCCTCCTCTCAAAACCGCAATTGATTGAGTACCGTAACTGCATTTTATAGTTCCCATGAGTTATCAAGTTTCAATCTCAGTATAACAAATTTACTTTACTGATGTATAATATCTCAAATGAATGACGTCTTATTAATAGTAAAATCCTTGAATCAGTGTTTTAATAGATTGCAGTTGGTTTTTATATATTTGGCTACCGATAGTCCAAAACTTGGTCCATGTAACTGATGGCATTTGTTTTACAACCATGCAAATAGCAGGTAACAAAGGTCGCTCACTAGCTCACGATCTGCTATTCCAACATTACACATAAATTGTTTTAGTAATAAGGAGACATGCATGCATATTTAATAAAAGCAGCAGCAAACAATGGTATTATTTTATCTTTAAGTACGAACGACGACTTCTTGGCAACCAGTCACACCACATGCATGCAAAATGTAAACAGGTACAATGGCCTTTGGATGATAATATTCTTAGTACGGGGTTACATGTAACACAAACATCAAATTTTTCACATAGTATTAAAGTGATACTATTCCATTTTACTAATATTTTTATTAGTACAATACAAGTAACATAATGGTTATATTCATGGCTGACATGTCAGCACATGCAACATATTTATTTTTACCAGGTTTAATATTAACTTGTTTGTGAAGGAATGCATTCCATTGTTAATTTTGCATGTTCACTGGGTTTTAACTTAGTGCATTTACACAAATAATGTGGCTATCAGCAAAAAATAAAAAAAAACAAAAAAAAAACAGCAAATAATTAATAAGCCATAAACAGTGAATTCACTTGCATAACAATACTCTTTCATTGTCTAAATTTTTGAAAACAGGTGTTGCATCATTGTCATGGAACACTTGTTCCAACAAGGCAGTAAAATTAATGGACATCATAAAATAACTTATTTCATATATGTGTGCTGCACATAAAACATAAATCATGCAGAACATTCATATAGTTTCTCATTCGGATATACAGTGTATATAAGGCTAAATGTCAAATTTGTTTTAAAAATTGATTGAAAAACAGGGACTGTAAACCCCCAGTGAAATACAAGTGAGAAATGTTTATTTACTGCACACAAACATTTTGTAAATGTAATTTTTTTTACAGACCATAATACTGTAATATTGAGTTAAGGTCACTCATATTCAACCCTGCTGAGAGCATGTTTTTTTAGTTGGGATTTTCAGTTGCTTTTAATTAGACACTCAGATGACATACATATACATGGTATTGTAGATAAATCTATCTTGAATAATACAACTATTCAGTTCTACAAAAACATACATTTCAAAGACGAGAATTAATACAAAAATTCAGGTTCATTGCATGTACTGCAATAAATGTTTAACTCGTCTCAAACACAAAAAACAACATAACATGTATATGTATATATAGTGCACTTTTTTAGTCAAATGACGCACACATTACATTTTAGCCTGATCGAGCTTTGCATTACCGGTGCACCTAGTGTGGTGTTTGAGGGCAGATTAGATTTATCATTACAAAAATGTAGTCAATGACTGTTTGAAAAAATCAACATGTGAATGTTATGGGAAAGGAGGCTTTTTTATCATACAACTATGAGACTTTTACAGAAACAAAACATTTTATGCAATGCACAGAAAAAAAGAAAAATTTTAAATTCTCAAGTTCGGAAGCCAATTTAGAAAATGCAGTATTTGCACTATTAGAATAGCATACATACAGTGGGTACATGGTATATACATAAATACATGAATAAAATGTCATGACAGTTCAGATAACTACATGTACTTACCAGTTTCAGATAGCAAGTTACTCTGCTTGTTAAGTAGGATATTTGAGTATCTCTGTTATCGTCCGTCTCGGTGCCATTATTGAAATTGCCACTACCATCATTGTTACTACCGGTAGGTACAAGTACATCCAGGGCCTTGGTGTAGAACTTTGCTGCTTCATTATAGTGCTGCGTTTGGTATAGATCAGTTGCCTTATCATGGAGCTCCTTATGCTTGCTTTCCATTTTCAGCAAAACAAATTAGTCTACAAAACAAATACATACATCCAAACTGAATAATGAAATTTTACCCATCCATATTCACACTATGTCTTCCCAAATTGACATTTGCCCAACAGCAGCAAATGCAATTAAATTTGTAAATTAAAACCATTTTAGACAGCAATTGAAAGAAGGTTCGGGCTAAAATCTGAAATTATCTTTACTTATCTTTTTTATGATTTCATTATTATGGAATTAGGATACCAAAAAAAAAAACCTGGTTCATTTGGAACATATTGCAAGAAACAAAAGTCAGATATAGCATGCAAAATAGTTCTTTTGCACCATTCTTCCATGATGAGATTATTTCTCCATATCTTGAAGTTTTGCTTGGTGACATGGGATGAAAAAGTTATATAATTATTGATATGCATAAATTGACATTTAATTTAGTCAGTTTCAGGAGGGAATAATATTTTTTGATTTATGATTTATGTATACAACAAGAAGTTTTCTGCCATAATGTTCTGCACATGTTCAGGAACATGCTCATGAACATGCTCAGTAGCATATAATTTTAATTTGACTGAAACTGTCTTAAAATGTAATTATTAAATTTACTTGGCATTTAAAACCAAATAAAAATGCTAAATTGAGAATCTCAAGTGTCATTTTGAATAATAACAAAGCCAGCTTCATTTTTTTAGTAAATTAATTTTCCAACCACACAGTGACCTTTCATCTGATCATCCTGTTTATAGATATACTTTGAGACAAAAATAGCCAATTTTTTTTGAGTAAAAAATGAAAAATTTACTCAAATTTTGTCTGTTGGCTCCAAAATTAGGCTTCATTTCCAGAAATACTAGAGAATACAAGAAAAAATGTGGAATAATTTGAATGAGAAAGTCTGGTGGTGAAAAGGTTGAATCAGATCTTCCTACCATGCAAATCCACACCACAATCAAGAAGTTTCAAAAAGAGAACTGATGGCCAATCAATAAACATACTATAATGATGATACTATACAAAAGCAAACCTGTACTCTGAAGTGATATGTATTCTTTAATACAGAACATTAGGAGATTAATGTCCCAAGGCGGGCACTTGGTTGTTTGAAGGATACACATATGCATTTAAGAAAATTGCATATCCACGAAAACCAAAAAAGTGTACTGTTGAAAAGACTGATAGCTATTCACAGTCAAGCAAAGGGACATAATAGGAGATTGTTTTGGCAGTGAGAAACCTTTTGTTTTGGTGGTTCCACAGACATTGTACCTTCATGGCATTTCTCTGAAAAAAAAAGTGTTTTGATTTTTCTAAAAGTTCACATTATATCAAAATGGGAGAGGGGGGTTGGTTAATTTGTATTTAGAAACCAATGGAAATATGTCGTTTTTGATTTTCGAAATTATACATGAATGTCCTATCTATACCAGCAAAGCCGATGACCAACCATAAACACCATATAAAACCTATCGTTCATTAACTGTTGAAAGATTTGAAGCAAAGTGATCACGACCTATGATCAGAATTTTAAAAATAAAATCCTATCTCAGACTGAACAATAAAAAGAGGTTGAATCCCTACACTGGGCAATGTACCAGTATACCCTGCCCTGACCCTATGGGAAGGTCAAATTAATTAAACAAATAACCAAGATTCAGTACCAGACTGCAGTAACAATAGTACATCTCAATATATTTCTCAGGATCAATTTAATAATATCTATGTTAAACATGCTGTTAACATATTACAGATTTTGTAAACTTGCCAGACAAAGATAAATTCTAATGACTAATGACCACCAAATGTTTATAAATTCCAAGTCACTAAATTCATAAAAAACATCTTCAGCGTAAGAGAGCAGCGCCTACCACTCATATTTGACATATCCTTCCAATGTAAATGTTTCTTTTGTATCAAAGTTTTTGTAGTGGACATTTATTCAGCAATGTCAATATGTTATTATGTTCAATTTTATTTCTTGTGTCAATTTGTTATTGTTGTCTTCTATGACCACAATTTATTTTTTCTTGTTAAATTTGTTTTCCCTTTTCTTTGAGACCTTAGTTCTGTACTGAGCTTAGACAGTGTTCTGAGAATAAATATTATAATGGCCATATGAATCAACCATGACTTTTTCACTACACTGATCACGCCAAAATGTTTTCACTAAACGTACCTGTACCTCTTACAATTGCTACGTTCACACGACAGCATTTTATTTGAGCCCAGCGGCTCGAGCCAGCAAAAATGGCCGTGTAAACGCGTTCGGCTCGAGCCAAGTTCGGCTCCACTAAACCCTTGGGGTTGAACTCCGATAGGGTTGAGTCCCGACATGGCTCCGATCGTGTAAACGCATCGGGGCCCAACTATCGGAGCCGAAATCACGCCCTCAATCGTATTCTTTGAGTAACCTCTCATTTCAATTATGGCGGAGACAACATCTTTCATAATTTCATGCAATTTCCGGCTTGAATAAGAGGTACGCGTCCTAATATATAGTAACGAATTATTGCGATAGATTGATAGCTCAACGGGAAACAGAAAATGGCGTACGAAATTATGCAATAAAAACTTGAAAGCACGACTGAACGGAAACTTTTTAAAGACACTAGAGATAAAAATCGTAGAAGCGATCGCGGTACGGTGACGTGTTCCTGGTAGGTTTAGATTCTTCCATAGTTTCTCTATGATAGATAAAGAGAATCTGTGATTCTTCCTAGGAGTTTAGATATTACTACAGTTGTTGAATAGTTACAAAATAGTAATTTTGCATGACAATGACTTGAGTGAAAAGGCTGTATTAAACGCATTTTAGCTGCTGTATTTCCTGTTTATTCGAGATACTAGTACCTAAATCATAATACCCGTCATTGTCTTTTCTATCTCCATGCTCAGGCTCTTTTTTCTCCAAGCTCAACAGCATCATGCCATGTAAAGAAAAAACACAAGCACGACACTGAAATCGTTTTTAGTCACTAATTATTCAAGAGCACTGTTCCGTTTGACTCTGAACAAACTGAATCGAACTCTGGCAGATCTCGGCTCTCGTTCAGCTCCCGACCGTATGAACGCATTGGAGATAACCTCCTGTTAATCCGTGGGAGGAGAAGTAGTTCGGCTCCAATAGAATGCTGCCATGTGAACATAGCAAATAAATACTAGGGTATACAGTGTAATTCGCATACATTAAAATGCATACATTACATAAGATAAGAGTATTTACAAACTGTACCATAATCCACAGAAATGGAGCAAAGTGGAACAAAGTTTAAGCACAGTTCCTCTATCCCCGGTCTAGAAACGGTCATTGTATTAGGTGTGAATTGGTCTCCTTCCCTGGCAAAGGCGCATTGCGGGTGTGGGCAAAGCATTGTCACGTGATCAGTATGTGATTTGACATCATCAGACGGGGGATAGAGGGACTGTGGTTTAAGTTATATTTTTTACCAATTTTTTTGATGCCTTTGTCAAATAAATGCAACAACTACTGGATTCGCAAAAACCTGAAGTTTTTTGCCAAACAGCACTTTTGTGAATTTGGCTGATAATATGTTTTAGCATCCAAGGGTGGCATATTAAGTCACTGAATCGCACACTGGATTTCTCTGTTTGTTAAAGATGGACAATATTATAAAATCAACATTCAATGTGAATATATTGGGATTATTCAGAGATACACACCAGACTCTTAAATTAAGATGTTTTGTTTGTACATGTGTAGTCATTAGGTTGCTCTCTTTCAAATGTATAGAATGACTATTTAACTTGTATTACCAATGCATGAGACATCGAACATTACATTATGTACTTCTTGGTTGAGTCTAACAAGAATTTGAACATCAAAGCAGGGAAGGATTTATTTTAGTGAAGATAAATAACAACTTAGACAATAAATAAGCTTTCGATCCGTATTATTATAACACCCACACACAGTAACTTTCAGATTTTAGTTTTGGCCAAGTTACTCAAAATTGAAAAAGCTTTCAACTAAGTTGTGCAACTTTAAGAGAGAGATTGGGGTTAACCAATTGCAGTATGGAAGTAATTATTGCAGCAACTAGATTACACTAGTGTTTCTCGTATGTTTGATTGTAGTCATGTATTTAATTTATTCATTTGCGTATGTCATTGTGGTAGTAATAATAATGTTTACTTTCTGTTTGTAAGAGTAACTGTAATTACGTAATATTCACAATGACGATCATGTGGAACCACAATATCGGTAAACAACACAAATTAACACAACTCTCAACGTTACATTTACCATATGCGAAATTGAGTATTACATTAATTGCGATTATTTTTTAAAACAAATGAGATCCGTCAAATCCTTAGGCAACTTTAAAATCGTCAATATGGCGGGCGAAAAAATATGTACGGACGACGTAAACAATGCACGTAATAATGGACAACCCGGAAGAGGCCCGTCGAGGGAAAACACCTCCCACTGACAACAGACAACTCGTTCAACGCCATAATAAAATTGACAGAAATAATAATATACATGGTATACTTACATACCTTCACATTTCGTAGTGATGGCTCACAAGCAAGAAAAAAATACCCTAAAATTACATTGACAGACAGGTGACTACTTGTTCAGGCAGGCACGCCATATTGGAAATTGCAAGTAACGAAATACAGTAACGCGAGATAAAGAAACGAGACTTTATTATTTTTGCAAGCTCAGCACAGTGACCTTGCTGTTCTTCTTCTATCAGGATTAGTCTATGTTTATGGGGTGAGATGTAGCCGCATATGGTGATGAGCGCATTTTTAATACAAACAAACATACGTAAAATTGCATACACATTTAATTAAGTATAAATATAAATACTTTTCATCAATATTTTATGTGTTTTAAATTGAAACGTGGACAGGAACAGTGATTGTGATATTATTTTCACCCGTTTACAATAGAATCTTCTGAATACCCCTGTTTTTCATTTCAGAAATCCCCAATTTTTTGTCATCGACATTTTGTTAAAAAGAATATTGTCGAACCTCGGAACGTCACGAGAATGGTGTGAGTTTTGCTAAGTATTTACACCGTATTTTCTGATAATTCGTCGAAATGCCGAGACTGTAGTACATAGATATACTCCCACGTAGGCAACAATGGTTGTGAGGAACGAACTGCAAAATTGATACTATAAACGAACGTTGGATTAGATCTCCTGCCACCTCACCAGACATCAATTTTGGAACAAACGAGCGTGCTACAGAACGTGTTCATCTGTTGACACAAATGACGAAAACCAAGGCGTATTGCATTACGTTTTGTTGCCAGTTGAAACAGGAAGTATAGTGTCTATACCACCAAAATACGCCATTGCAAGTCGGTAGCTCAGCCTCATCTTTGTCGGTCGACTTTGTGGAAATCCTATATTGATTCATAGCCGCCGCTGCTGTTGGTATATTTTCTTCAATTTGTTTCAGCTCAAGTCATCAGTGATAATTAGAAACAAAGTGTTTTCTGTATCTACTGAAGGTTTCTGAAAATAATTTCCTAATAGCAATTTTAGAAAGAAAAAAAAATATGTTGACTTTTTATTGAAACTGCGTCGAGGCTTTGTTCAAGCTGTACAAGTGCAAGGAGATCATATACAACTTCGGTCAACTCTTCTGACTACAGCAATTACAAAAGAACATGTCGTCTATTCACTACAAATTTAAAAGTAGTAATGACTATGATACGTTAACTTTTGATGGGCTGCATATATCCCTGTCTGATCTGAAGCGAGCCATACTTACTCAAAAGAAAATTGGGAAGTCTGCAGAGTTTGATTTGCAAATAACAAATGCGCAGTCTGGCGAAGGTAAGCTAGCTATATGTGCTATTTGTTTTTCTTCTCTATTGTTGTTAATGTGTGGCGACCAGGGCATATATTTTGTCAATAATAAGAAACTGAAGGATACAAACTTGTCAGATATTGGAAATAAGATTTGAATAGTGTTGTTTTTTTGTCACTTTGTCCAAATATGCTTTTTGATGTTCAGTATATTTTGTTGATTGTGATCACAAAGGAATAAAGAAAACAATGTGTTTCAAGAATGGATTTTTAAACTAAAAATTGTCATGGCTTTATTTCCAGAATACAAGGATGAATCGCACCTTATACCAAAGAATGCATCGGTCATCGTTAAGCGAATTCCTGTTGGCGGGATAAGAGCAAATATTAAAGCGTAAGTTCTTTAAGATAATTAAAATAAAAAAGCTTGATAATAAATACTGCATACAAAAATGTATAAATCTGACTGTAGGCTACCGCAATTGACATGCTAAAATTAACTTGGACATCAGGCTACTCTAAATCATAATAAAAATTCTTTACATTGAATTTATATTTAAGCTTGATTCTTCAAGGTTATACATTATAGATCAAGTATTGTACTTTTCACTTGCACGGCAAATTGCACAGAGCATTAAAATCAAGTTAATATCAAATGAAAGTCAAGTTTTTCCATAAACGTCTTTCCTAAAATTGCTTTTTTCTGTTCTATTTTCAGGGAGCCGGTTGATCTGAATGGGGTACCAAATATCAAACCAGTATGTAGTAATGCCATTTTTGATCACAATGATTTGTGGTCTTGCGTAAGCTTTTATAATTATTAATGTTAACTGGGCATTTGAATTTCATTCAGTAGTTACAAAAAAAAAAGAGTAGAAATTACTCAAGAGTTGATACACTTGATATCAACCTAATGTTATGTAAACGTATATTGCATTCACAAAATTACATTCTATGTGCATGTGCTGTCCGAGATATTAATTGTTGGCCCCTCCGTACTTGTACATGTGTTTTCACTTTTAAGTATAGAATTTACTTTTTTTTGTTGGCATATTTGTCACTGGAATAATCACTAGTACTCTCACTTGCTAATATGCATTGAATATGTAGTTAAAAGAAGTTTTTTTTTTTCAATTCTTGCACAAACGATGTGCAATAAAAGATGATTTGATAATAGCCTGTGACTGTAAAGCTGGACTCTATCAATATGATTGTCACATGGTTTGCAAAGATGATACTATGAATTTTGTTTCTACAATTTTCATTAGCATAACAAGGAGCATTGCCTGCCAAGTCTTCAGTCAAGGGAGCATTGTTTCTCTTAATAACATGAAGATATTATCATCAAAGTTTATGCCCATTTGTGGTAATTGATGATTTCAGTAATGCGTGAAAATTGTAATGAAATATGGGCATTGGTATAATCTTCATGAAACAGTAACAGGTTTTCATAGAAAATGCCAAAAGTTATTTTTTTAATATTCTGCCATCTGTCTTTCATTTGGACTGGTTTCCATGGGCAAGTTATTATACATATATATATATAAATAAATATTTTATTACAGATTGATACATTTTTGCTATATTTATTTCATACAGAGTATATTAAAATCAATTTTTACAGACATAAATTTACTATTAACACTGTTCACCCTGTGACTTATATTTTCTATGATGGAAAATGAATAAAAAATATGCTGGGATTGCTTGAAATCCTTCTTGTGTTTCTCTTTTGATAACACCTACACTCACTCAGACCATTTATTTCATTCAGATGTATTTATGATATATTTATGCATATTGTCGAATCCATGCATGTAGTGTTTTTTTGTTTTTTTCTGCAATACCCGTAATCTTTATGTATTCAGTATATGGAGACCTCAATGTTTCATGACTAGATTTAATTATACAAACATTGTTGTACTAAAGTCTTAAGGTGTGCATTATGTGAAATAGAAAACTGTTTTGGTTTTCCACATACATTGTCCTACACAATCTTTTTATACTGGCCTGAATTGTGCAATTCTTTAATAATATGGAATTTTTTCTTGCAAGCTTGATTCATATTTAAGGAGCAAACTTGAGTGATAACATAAACTTGCAGCTAATATGTGATTTGCCTATTCATTTTAAATAATTTGGTTTCTAATCTTGTACATCTGGCAGTGACAATTGAATAGCGCAAAGTCTGCATTAGAGATACATGGAATCGCCTCGGCCTCTGCTATAAGTTGGTTGATCGATACTATCACCAGTCTGCCTTTGTGCATACTTTGCGATATTCTTGTTATAACCTCATGTACATGTGTCATTTGCACTAAGGAAATTTAATAAATTGCATGCTTATTTGTTGTAGTTGTACCACTCCCCTAAAATTTTATAATACTGAGTACTAAATGCAAATTTACAAATTAATGATTATTACATGACATTTCTCAAAATTAATTTCCATAAAATAGCTGCACTATGAAAACTGTAGGTTTTGCAATGTTTATTTTTATACTTTAGATTTTTCAAGCTTTCAGTTGTACATAACTTTGTCATTATTTTATCATATAAATGTGCAAAATCGCAGTATCTTTTTACATAATAGATGCTTTTCTTGGTGCCCTATTTAAAAACGTCTTGCAATGTGTGTAGATGATATGAGCAACTCGTTAATAAACTCTGCATTGCAATTATTTTCAAACGCAAGTTGCTTGTTGCTCTGGCAGTTTTGCCCAGGAAATATTGGTCCAGACATGCTAATTTCAAGTGACAACTATCTGTTGCTGTGATTTTTGTCACTTGCATTTTCAGTCAAAAACCACTACTATGTGAAGGATGCAACAATTCCCAGAATAATGTGTATTGCATACTGGAAACATTCACAGAATTGCAATCAACTGTCCTCGGGGGGGGGTGTGTGAAATTTTCTTTTATTTGGTCTGTAATTTTGGGTGCACAGTCTTGCATTTGGCCTGATAAATGAGACTGGATATCTTTATTTGCCTGTCCACGGGGACAGCCAATTTCTATCTGTCTAGGACAGGTGGGCAGGCCTTAATAGACCATTTTCAAGTTTATAGGGACCCTTGTGATATCAAACATAAAAACGGGACAAGACAATACATATATCATCGTGGTGCGGTCGAAACGTGGGATTTGACAATCACAACATTATTTTTATTCTATTTCCATGCTTAATGAGTTCACATTGAACGCATTGAAAATTTTGAAGTAAAAATATCTCGACACCATATTCCTCTCTGAAAAATATAAAACTATGGAAAAAATGGGGGTTATTGAAAATGTTGCACATAATCCACACAAGGAAATGAAAAGCCAGATTTTGCAGCACTGCTGCCAGTCTGTTTTGAATTCACTTGACTACTCGTTAGAGCAAGTGATTTACATCCATGTTCAATAATAACGTGCATTACTGTCGCATATATAGGCAATATTATATTTAGTAACGCGTGAAAAGAACCTTTAAAGAAAGGCGTATAAAGAATAAATGCATTGCGTGCTAAATCCTCAAGATGGACACCTTGGACTAGCTCGTAACTGCATTAAGCAAGGGTTGTTAATCATATTCATACATTCTAAAAATTATTCTGTCACTTGTCAAACATGCCTGGACCATTTTTACTTCCTAGTTGAAGCAAAAAAAATTCACCTCTGCATTCATACCTGTATGGCTGTCTGGACCGATAGTGTTCAAACTTTACATATTGGGATAAATGTGCACTAGCATTGTTTTTGTGATCCAATTTAAACGGGACATTGATGCATGTTCAAAATGCTCAACTGGTGGGCATTTTGTTAGTTCTCGTTCGAACGCAGTCCAGAAACAGGGACTTGTGTTTTACCTCTGTTCGTTCGAGCCTGTATCTTAGAAATGCCTGGACCAATCACAATCATACATTACATTATACATGTGCACATCAATTTGTTTCAAGATCTGGTGGCCATTTTGCTTTAATTGATGTGATTCAAGTGCTATATCTGACTTGCTTTGACTGATTATGTTCAAATTTTAGATATTCATTATACATCATGTCATAGATATTCAGATATATTGGTTTAAAGATCCTATTTAAAATGGCTGAATGGTGGCCATTTTGTGCTAAAAATCATCAAATATCAAGCATTTATTGATGGATTTTCGTTCAAACTTGGTACATACATTAGACATTGGTTCTTGATGCATGTCATTTTATTTTTCAAATTGGATTAAAAATCCCTAATTGGCGGCCATTTTGTTTTAATGAATGGGCTTCTAAAGCCATATCTCTGACGTGCTTTGACTGATTATGTTCAAATTTTATATATTCATTATACTTCATAATCATATTCCTGACATTGTTATATTACTATAAACAAAACTATGTATCTTAAATTTGATAACTAAAGGGGACTGCGCCATGCATGGCTTG